GCTTGCAGCCTTGAGCAGAGCACAGTTCAGATAACCAGAAGATACCTGGCATGAGAGGAACCAAGGATGGACCAGACCCTTATGGTTAGCAGAGGGGCTAATAGCCAGCAAGGATTAATAGAAACCTATCTCTCCCTATGTCTTCGCTGATGCCTCTCTTGGTCTCAGCCCACCTGCACCCAGGGGCCTGGAATAAAATCTCTTTTGATACATATGGCCTTATATTATAGATACATAACCCCTGCCCACTCCTATCCTTTCAGACAGAATTACCATTGACATGTAAATCACTAAATAAGATGCCTACAAAGAAAATGGAACTCTTTAATTACTACATGAATAAAAAAGACTGTACTATCAGCAATTATTTGACTGAAAACAGGGACCTAGATAAACAGTCAAGAGGAGTGAAAAATACATGAAAGAAATAAAATATGCTTTGACTGTTACTATATCCCAGATATTGTGAGATCTTAGTACAGACACATGAAAACTGGCAGTTGCTAATGGCTATGAAAATATCCAGAAAATAGACACTTGAGACTGTGGTTGACATGAAGGCAGGGTTTTCAAATATACTTCAGTTTTAGAAGGAAGGTAATTTTTGTACTTAGAAAAACAAATTTATCATCAAAATAATTTGCATGTGCTGGCTGGTGTGGCTCAGTGGTTGAGCATCGACTTATGAACCAGGAGGTCAGGATTCGATTCCCAGGCAGTGCACATGCCTGGGTTGCAGGCTCAATCCCCAGTGTGGGGTGTGCAGGAAGCAGCCGATCAATGATTATCTTTCATCATTAATGTTTTTCCCTTCCTTACTCTCTGAAATCAATTATATACAATTTGCATATGAGGTGAAATACATTATAAAATTAAAGATGGTGGACTTGGACCTAGCCCCATTCTCTCACATGAATAAGAACACACTTAGTTCTTATTCTATCACTACCCCATCCTACCATTCCCTACCCAGTCTGATCTTCCTCATTCTTATTCTGCAGCAATTCTCACCTACCGGCATCACTTTTACCTATGAGCTAATTTAAGTTGATTGAATCAGAGGCATGGCTACCACCAGATAAACTTCTGGTTTCTCTGGAGTTATAGTATATCTCCACTCCCCCCTTTAAACACAAATAAAAAATTGTTAATAGAACACCCTAGAAAAAAAGAATGCGAGACAAAAGACTTATTTGCAAGGAGACAGTGAGTTGAAGCTGAAATAGGTGAGCTGGCAAGCACAGTGGAATAATGCTTTCTAAGTTCCTTGTCTTGGAATGACATTGTTCTAAGCACTAGTACTCTAAGGATTTCTGCCCTCAAGGAGATTGCAACCCACCGAAAAAGAGAGATTTGCAAAGAAAAATGTTAAATACAAGAAGGTAAGCATGGTGAGAGAGGGAGGAATGAATAAAGAAACAGAGGTGACATGCCTGATATTTTCTGTGAGCATACAAAGAAGATTCAGAAAAGCTTCCATGAAAGAGAATGGCACCTTTCTGAAATGGAAGCAGTACTAATCAATCAAAAGAACTGAGAGTCAAGAAAATAATACTCTAGGCAGAAGTAATAGAATAATCAGAGAACACATTTGAGAGGAAAAATTCTGGAGTAGAGGAGGTATTGGAGTAACTAATCTAGGCAAGATAACATTGAAGATCAGAATTAGGACTTTCTTACTTTAGATAGAGAAACATATTGGATTGGAGAGATATTTTGGAAGTAAAATTATAAAACCTTAGGAATTTATTGGTGTAAATGGTAAGAAACAGGTATCCAGGAAGAGTTGTATATCTTGCAAAACAGTGTGCATGGTAGTGCCAACAAGTGGTTTGAGATTCAGGATATATAATTCAGGGGATTAAGATTCAGTGAATTGTTGAACAGGAAGTATCTGGAAATATATGTCCATCAGAGTGTTTTATACAAAAACCTGAAATTCATATATCAGATTAATATTAGGTATATAGATATGGATGTTACAACATATGGTCTTGATTAAAAAATGTGACAGTAAATAAGATCACACAGAAGATAAAAGTAGACTAAAAAGCAAACAAAACTCAGTGAGCATAAATTAGGGTCATGGGCATCAGGAATATCTAATGGGAGAGTGAAGAAAAAATTCACAAAGGGAACAAAGAATAAAAGATCAAAGAGGTTGGGAGAAGAGCCAGGAAAATGTCATATCAAAGCAGTAAAAGGAGTAATTTTCCAGAAGTAAGTAAAGATCAATGCTGCACAATGTAAGGATGAGGTCACAGTAGGACTGAAAAGTGTCCAAGGGATTTTTCATGAAAGACTGAAAACTGTCCAGTGAATATGAAGATATGAAGGTTAATTGTGAACATTGCCAGAGAGTTTCCATAAAAAGATTGTAGAGTGTTGAGAATGAATTGGATGGAAAGAAAATGAATGATGTTTGCTAAGACATGGCCAAGACCATTGGCTAAGATACGGAAGAGTACAAGGATAGATTGTCCCATTAAGTAACACAAATTTGGTAGGAGACTTTCCTTGAGTCCATAAACTCAAGTTTGTAATGTTCACTTCCATTTCCTTTTATGAACTATATATTTTCACATTAATAATTTAACTACTGTCAAGTTTTTATGAATTTGACTATGAAATTATTTATATAACACTCTTTCAAAATATATAATCTCTATTAGAATCAGCTCATTCATAGTAATATAAGTGATGCAATGCTTAACTTTGAATAGTAACTTAAATATGTGACTGTCTGCTTTTATTTTAGCACATTAACTGTCAAAGAATGACACAATTTCCATAAATATGTTTATTCTACTATACTAGAGGTCCAGTGCATGAAATCTGTGCACGTGGGGGGCGTGTCCCTCAGCCTGGTCTGTCCTTCTCGAAGTCTAGGAGCCCTGGGGGGGATGTCCGACTTATTGCTAGTGGGCCTAAGCCATCAGTCAGATATCCTTAGCATTGCCATGGAGCTGGGAGAGGCTCCCACCACTGCCACTGTGCTTGCCAGCTGTGAGCCCAGCTTCTGGCTGAGTGGCACTCCCCTGTGGGAATGGACTGACCATCAGGGGGCAGCTCCTGAGTTGAGTGTCTGCTCCCTGGTGGTCAACATGCATCATAGTGGCCACTCATTCCACCATTCAGTCATTTGCATGTTAGCCTTTTGTTATGTAGAAAAAGCTATAGATGAGTCTCCCTAGAACCATAAGAAATGCAAAAAAATCACTGTTAACTCATTCTCGAATTGCCCCCACTTAAAATCAATTTACACCTCCCCCCCCCCCGCCCCTGTGGGGCGTGTGCTGCACCTTGGGAACCACTGGGCTTGACGCTTTTCCTCTCTGAGCTTCATTTCTGAATCCATACGCATAGACCATGGGAATTGTAATCTCTTCTCCGCCTGCCTCACTGGGTTGTCATGAGGAGGTTCTGAGCTAATAAACCTAGAAATGTTTCATCAAGTAAGTGATGTCTAAACGTGAAGGGATTGTTAATTTTAAGCTCATGGGTACCCTTACAGGTGGCAGGTGCTGATTGGGGAAGGGGCAGGATTGTTTCCTGGGACTGTAACTATGGAAGCTTTGCAGAGGGCTCTGCAGGCCTTGGAGGGGCGGGCTCTGGCCAGCAGCCCTGTAGTGGTGGTTGTCCCTGGAGGCACTGGTGGGGGGCAGGGTGTTAGGGAGGCGCTAGAGGGGCAGCGAGGCCAAAGGGGGAGTCACTGTCAAACCTTCCTGCTTGGCACCATTCTTTAAATCTTACCTGGCTGTTTAGCAGCTCAGGGCAGGGCTCCAATCTCCTGGAGCGGGGTGAGGGCAGGGACAGGGTGGAGCCAGGCGGGCTAGGAGGGCCAGTTTAGCTGCTCCCCAGTGCGCTTCCTCTGTGGAGATGGCGCTGCTGCTGTTGGGGCAAGGGTCTAACCCTGAGGGGCTGCTCAGGTCTGCCTCCACCCGGTCTGGAGTTGTAGGGGGGAGAGGTGTGCCTGGCCCTAGGGGAGGGAGCCCAGTAGCAGCTAGCAGCAGGCCCTGGATCCATCAGGGGCCCTGATGGGTGGTCGCAGGTGTGCTATTGTTGTGGGAGCCCTTGGCGGGGGTGATGGGAAAGAGATCTGGAGTTGGAGGTGAAGGCTGCAGCTACTCCGGAGGCTGCCTCTTCTCCCTGTCTGGTCAGCCTCCCTGTCCCCTTAGGGGTGTAGGGGCTGGGGTAGGGTGTTTGTCTGTTCCCTCAGGGGGCTGGGGTAAGGTGTCCATGCAGGGGGATTGGAAGAGCTCCCCTTGGCATCTTCCTCTTCTTTGCAGCTCTGGCACCTGTCAGGCAGTCTCCTCAGGGAACTTGGCTGCCCCCTGCTGTGCATAAATTTGCAAGTTGGTCCTTATGGGGACATCTTCATGGACAAATTAGCATATTACCTCTTTATATGTATAGATATGCACAAATATGGAAGATTAAGAATATAGCAATTAATTTATGGTTTGTATTTTAAAAGCATATTTTAAGTTAATATAGAAGTAAATAAAGACATCATTAGTTACATAAATTCCAAAGTAAACAATAAAATAATTCATAATATTGCCTAGCTAATTTTGGAATGCAAACAGACAAAGAGAAAAAATACCCAGAAGATATTTTAAAAATTACATAGAAAACCTGCTCTTGTTCAGGTAACATTTACAAGAGCAGATAGAAAATTTATAAGAGGAGACCAGAAGTTGTTTCTAGAAATTTGGTAAATAATATTTGAAGAAGTAAACATTGTCGAGTTGCGTTTTTATGTTTTTGTTATTTTTTTAGTTGCATATGGCAAGCACATTTCCAACCTATATTTTCTGGCCATAATTTGTGAATTTAACAAAATTGCCCACAGTTTCCCTGGATTCTTCACGGCAAAAAAAAAAGAGCCAAGTGGTCTGGTGGCATGGTTAAGTGTTGACCTATGGACCAAGAGGTCACCATTCGGCTCCTGGTGGGTTGTGGGCTCGTAAAAATCAAAGATTCTTTCTTCATCATTGATGTTTCTATCTCTCCATTTCCCTTCCTCTCTGAAATCAATAAAAACATATTTAAAAAAATGAACCAAATCTTTTAATTTTTATTTGCTCATGTTTTATTTGATATTATAAATGTTATTTTACAAGAACACCTCACAGTCTTAAAAATGCAGCTATGGTGTGATAGTCATTTTGAAGGTTCTCCGGTATCTGGTTCTCCTGCTCTTCTGTGCACAGAAAAGAAAGCTCTTCTCAGTCCCCTAGCAGATGAACAAAGCCTCATGACTAATTCTGGATGGAAATGAGTGCAGATCTGACGTTTGTCACTACTTTGCTGAGGCAGTGAAGAATCATAAACAATCTTCCAGTCTTTTCCCCTGTGGCAGTAATTGTGGAGGAGACAAATTATTGACATAATAAATCTAAAAGGTAGAAGCAACCTGATTCATTGCAATGCCACATGGGGACTGCTGTCCTAAAGTTGTTCATAACTGTGGCCAGCCTAGGGTGAACAAGACATAAACAGTAGAGCTGAAAACAGATTGGCTCAGTGGATAGAGTGTAGGCCTGAGGACTGAAAGGTCCCAGGTTGGATTCTGGTCAAGGGCATGCGTTTTTGTTGTGGGTACATCCCCAATAGGGGGTATGCAGGAGGCAGCTGATCTATGTCTCTCTCTCATTGATGTTTCTAACTATCTCTCTCCCTTACTCTCTGTAAAGAATCAATAAAACATATTAAAAACAAAACAAAACAGTAGAGGTGTTGAGCCACTTAGATTTGGAGCTTGTCATTGCAGTGCAGCCTACCCTTTCCTGATCATATGGCATTCAGAAAGTGCTTTATTTCAATCTAAAGCAAAACCTCTCACCTAATTGCCTTTTTCTTAGGTGAGTGTCTGTCAATTAAAGTTGACAAGAATGGTGAGGAGGAGAAAAATCAGTGGATGGAGCAAATGAGATTTAGTAAAATTCCAATACCATGTAATGGACTACAAATATCCATCACGTTTTTTGCAGTCATAGTAAACTTCAATATATTTTTCCTCCTTGCCCCCTTGAACTCAGTGAAGAAATAACTTGCCATCATTGTGAGAGAAAATTCCTTACCCAGGCCTAATGAGGGAGCTGCCTGGCATATCAGCTCTCTCATTGTTTTTATTCTTTTGTTCACATTGTCAGAAAATAGTATAAAACACTGCTTTCCTTTCTACTTGCAAATTTTTACTCTGTGTTTCTTGGTGTACTTGAGGGTATGTATTGTTACCACAGCCTTCCTCTTCATACATCTTGCCCTGAATGTTGCATCTGGGTATCTACCAAGTATTACAGTTCTCATTATAGCCCTTCAGTTACTTGTAATTACAGAATGAATCAAGGAAAAGTATAGCCTTTGTGCATTGAATAATTCTACTACCCATTGCTTAAAAACTAACCACCTATCCTTGGAGGCTCATAATAATCTCAGACTGTAACACTTTATTTTCTAGGTTGTCTTGAGATATACTGTGCAAATGCATGCATGTATGCACACATGCAAGTGCTTCTATATATAGTAAGTCCTGGGTCTGACAGTGATTGAAAATACAAGTTTTCTGTAAGGATATAGGGGATCCAACAATCTAGAATTCTATGACATTAAAGGGTGAAATATTATTTTGTAAAGGTACTGGCAAGTACTAACAAAACGAGATGAGAAATGTATCTACAAAGAAAAAAGCAGTCTGACAATCCTGTCATAATATGGTCTTTCCCCCTTGGAGAGTTTTGAGTAGTGAGACAAATGCCAATACTGAATGGTTAGATAGAGGATATATATTTCCTATAGAATGATTCCTTAGAATACTTAATTTTACCTATTTTTTAAAAATTATTACTAACCAAATTGTAATTTCAGTTCCAAAAAAGTATACTTGGGCATATTGGCATTGTCTCTGTGTCAACTCAGGTAGCAAAAACATTTTCTACTATTCCAAGAATTTTTAGCATTATATTTTTGGCTCTCCCTAAAGCAGCACAACCCAGCAATCTGTTTGCTCTTCCAGTACTGCTACTTTTCCTTGAGTCCATCATGCAGATCTTATTAGTAGGTGCTTGGAATCTTGTCTGCATGCTGGTGACCATGAGCTTGCTTAGATCTTGATATGCCCCCATTTCTATACAGGCAGTTTTGCCTAATGGATTGGGCCCCACCTGCTGTTCACCAATTTGTATTTACTGTTCACCCATTAGCAGATATTGTGGCAAACATTCCTTCACTCAGAGAGAGAGTTGTAGATGTGCCAAGCTCCATCACGGTCTCCTTGTTTTATGAAGCATGTTAGTACCAGATGGCATTCTAAATAGAGCTTTTAAAACAGCTTTTCAGCATGTTGTGTTTCAAGGTGAATTTTCCCTTCTGGTGAATAGGTGATTTCAGGTGGGAGCCATTTGTGAGTCCCATACTCTTTATTTTCTTCTTTCTTTAGACTCTTGAGACATTTTCATGAGGGAAAAGAAATGGAAAGTGTGTATACTCCAATCTTTAAAGTATAATGGGTCAAAAATAGTTATGTTCAAAATGCTTTTATAAAATACAATCTCTTTTTAATTTTATAGCGACTCTTATGATATGTGGGAAAATTGTCTCTTTTTAAAATTCTCAGGAAACTGAGAATCAGAAAGATTAAATTTCTTGATTTCTATCACAAAGGAAGCCCATGACAGAGCCAATGTTCATTATTTAATTTATTAATGGCTACTATATCAAGATCCAGATCAGCACTACTTGCCCAGAAAAGGTAGAGCAAAGAGGGAAAATATGTTAATTCATTTTTTTCTATTCAATCTCATTTTTTTTCTGAACCAAAAGAACGATGCATGTAAGAATTTATAATTTGATGAGGAGCAATAATGAATGGAATGGCATGAACATCAGTTCCCAAAACTTTACAAAGGTCAGGAAAGGAAGAATACATGAAAAAAATTTCTGCCACAACTATCTATAGCTTGTACTAAACATTCAACTGGAAATTTATTTACCCAATTACTTTATTGAATTGGTTGGTTCTATTTTCAAATAAAGTATAAATATTACTTAATTATTAAATCATTTGTTCAAAATCTAATCCATGAACTTGGTAGATATTGACCTTTTGTTTGGTAGATATTATTTCCCTCTCCTAGACTATTTTATGTTGCCAATTTTATTTTTTTATCTTTATATAAAAAACTTATATTTCTTCTCAGGACCACAGATAATTAAAAGGCTTATCTAGTACCTATAAGGCCTATAAATTCTCTTTCTGCTTTCATTGGATTTGATTTAATTAAATGATTAAAACTATTTCTTATTTCTATTTACTGTCAGGGAGAAAATATCTATAATCAAAACCCTAAATAAAATAAAAAAATTACAATGATATGTTTTCACAATTTTAGCCTTAATTAACTAGTACGTAATAAAATGTCAAAAGAAGGGTAATAATCATACAATAGACATTTAAAATTGCATCGGAATATTCATAAAATATATCTAAGAAGATGATTTTAAGAATAAATGAAAATAAAAACTAAAGAGAAGATAAACAAATGAGACCACTTCTAGAAAAGTTTTAGGAATATTTTATATATCTTTTATTCATATATCTTATATTGTCATCATATATTGTTTAACATAAAATAATACATGGTTTAAAATATTTCAATTAAAGTAATGTGTAAAAAGTTTCTTAAAGTTAAATGAGAAAACACTATCTAAAATGAGTTTTGTATTTTTAAAATTTAAAATAGAGGAGTTATTTTGAAGGGTCTAAATTAAGCCATATCCAGAAAAAGTTATCTAAAATATAGGTTTGCCTTCAACATTTCTTCATCTTTAAAGTTTATTTTTTTTCCTTCATTTTAAAAGCTTTCCGAACTACAAAACCAGAACTGCTAATTCCCCCAGATCCCTATTAGGTGTCACACTATCAAGAATAAAACAGGTTAACCAGCAGTGAGTGACTCTACTCTTCAATCCTATATTTCCTTTTCATGAAAAATTAACATTTTTGTTATCACTTTTTTTTTAATCAGAAAGCTACATTTTAAATCCATGGATAAAGAACATACCTGGTGCTAAAATTTAATAATATGTACTTTTATGGGGCAAAATCTTTACTAAGACTCAGTAATTTGTAATAGCACAGTTGCACCAAGGTTGTAAAGTACAGTATTTTGCCACTTACTCCTTTACCCTTAAACTACATTTTCCTTTGTTCTTATATATTTTTAAATAATAATCATATATTTCTCCATAATAACCATAAATAAGGGTTATCCTACAATGACTTGGGGGCCAAAAGAGAGAACTGCAATCCCTTTACAATGGATTGATGTAATTTACTTAAGACAAATACATAATTTTGGTTTTAGTGCAATGGGTTCATACCCTTAATTAACAAAACTTTATTGTGGTCTTGCAGCATTCTAGTCATTGTGGAGCTCACAGTAGAGGAAGTTTAATAATAACAACAAAGAAATCCGCACAATTTATTTATCTTATATTTTATTACAAGCCTGGTGCACGAAATTATGCATGGATGGGGTCCCTCTGCCTGGCTGGCAATTGGGGCCAATTAGGACCATCTAGCCCAGTTCTGATTGGGGTTGGTCGGGGCCAATTGGGGCCAGTGGCCAGGGAGGAACCATGGGAGGGACCAGGGAAGGGCTCTTGGGTGTGTCCAGCCCCATCTCGCCCAGTCTCAATCAGCTGGACCCCAGCAGCAAGCTAACCTGCTAACTGGAGCATCTGCCCCTGGTGGTCAGTGCACATCATAGTGACCCATCGGTTGACTGCTCAGTCAGACACTTAGCCTATTAGGCTTTTATATATATAGATTGTAGCTCTAAATAGAAAGTGCGGAATGCACGGCACGCACTTTCCCTCCAGCCTCTGGTCTTGGAGACCTCATGTCCTTCCAAGGCTCTGCTTACCCTCTTCAGCTGCCACACAAAGTAAATTGCATTGTGTACATGGAAGCCCTTTGCAGGCTCTGTGGTGTGTGTCTTTACTTCACTGCAGTTCTGATTAT